AGGAGGGAAGACGGGTGGATCATAGTGCTCGATGAACGTTGCAGCCATAAATGTCCACATGCAGCAGAGACAGGGTTGTCTGTGGGAGCCCGCCGTCACTCAGTCAGGCTCTATCACTATCTTGCAGTGCTGGAACGTCACTGCTCAGCAACAGCAGCTCTGGTGAAGTGGGGACTGTGGTCAGCTAGTAACACAAACCTAAACACACAGAATTAAAGTGCCCTTTTGTTTGTATTCTCTGGGATCCCAAAATGATTTGCAATGTTTCCTGGTTACCTGGCTGCTAAGTGTGGAAGGGCAGCCTGACCTAGTATCTGGGAATAAGTAGCCTTCTGACAGGTTTCAAAAGTTCCTCAATTTACATGGTCGATCTATAGTATTACTTGTGGCTTGAAATTCAGTTATCAATTCTGGGGCACCTAAAGACAATTACACTAATTTTGGGACATTTCAAACAATTGTTTTGTGTCTGGGCTGAACACAGGGCTGCTGCAATAACTGATGACTGTGAGGGCTGAACCACCTGTGTGTTACAGTGACCGAGTTGACAATAAAACCGTTCCAGGTGTATTTGTCTCCAGTCTACCAGCCAGCATCTGATCGGAGATTTCTAAACTGTGCCACAGCACTTGCATGTGCGCTTTCCTTACCTCTGGGCAGTCAGGGAGGACCACCAGTCTAAACTACTATTTCCAGGCTATCAGTGGGTCTCCTGCTCACGTTCCACAGGCGTCTTCACCACAGCGCGGCAGAAAGGGATTGTGGGCTGGGTGCTCAGTGTAGCCATGTGCTCACTGGAGTGAGCCTTCACCACTCTTCCCCGGGCTCAGAGAAAATGACAGCATACAGGCAGGTGGTATAAAACTGACATTACTGTGATTTATTGTCATGAACCATGAAAATAAACAACCAGTGCTGTGTCTGTGAGAATCTCTCTCTTTCAAACCAAAAAAATAAAAAAGACAAAAATAATAATAATCCAGAGAAGAGAAATAAACAAGGAGACGAGTGCTACCGTCACAGAAACATTCAGCTTCGCCAGGAGAACGCTCGTATTTACATCGATATTCCAAAATGGGATGGGAGCAGATTTTACAGGCTTGGAAAAGAAGCTCCTATTTACACAAGTTTCAGCAGAAAGCAGGAGGAACGATCTATACATTAAATTACATTTCTACAAATAACCATTGAAATCCAAAAATAAACTGCTAACATACCTATAGGTGTGTCCTTCTCTCTGGGACTACCTCGACAGCCTATAGCACACGCGCACACACACTCCTCTCGCGCACACACACACACTCACTCTCGCACACTAAGAGCTTAGACTCCTGGGGCAGTCACGGAGCACACCAGAAGGGTCCTCTCTGAATCTCTGCTGCGGTTATCGGATTTACACAGAGGAATAAAAAAAATAATAATTCTGTTTTTCTTTGTACAAAAAGCTTTCACTAAAATGAGCCACTAAATACAACAAATTAAAAGTGGAAAAACCAACACTTTCCACGATGGAGAGGACAGAGAAACGAGTCCGACAGACAGACGAACAGGGAGGAGAGAAGAAGGGAGGGGCTGGAATGTCCATCGAGAGCCAAGCCTGACATGAGGACGAGACGGACAGACACCAAGAGACACAGATAGAGAGACAGACACACAGATAGAGACACAGATAGTGAGACAGACACACAGACATAGATAAAGAGACACACAGACATAGATAAAGAGACACACAGAGAGAGATAAAGAGACAGACAGAGAGAGATAAAGAGACAGACAGAGAGAGATAAAGAGACAGACAGAGTCAGACAGGGCTCTCCACTAGGGCAGGAAATCAAAAAGAAGACAGGACCGACCAGGAGGGAGAAGACAGAGAGAGGGGGGGATTTCTAAGCACTGGGGTTCGTCTGTCTTCGTTTTATACAAAGTTTCTTTACAAAACCTTTCACTTCTGTAAAAAGTACCCTTTGCCTTGGTGGTGTTTGCGGTTCTGTTTACCGTTACATATAAAATATTTACAGCCTATGTTACATGATATCAGCCCCTCCC